GGAAACTTTCGAGTGGAAAGGGTTAACAGGTTTTCTAGGAGAAATTTTCGACGAGCAGATCTCAGTGCTTTGTCCGCCTCGTCGTGGACACACGCTGTTTTGCCCGACAGATAGAAAGCCAGCCTTCTCGCGGACTTACTCGGCCGCTCTAATTAAGGGTTTTCCTTCTCCGCGAGGGTAGTGAAAAGACGCTTTTGAAATTAGCGCGGTGAACGTTGAATGCGGGCGAACTGGACCGCGTCAACGAAACGTTTCCACGGCGAACTTGCCGGCTCTCCGTAAACTTTCGAACGAGAGCATCTCTTGCTCTGACATTGCACTTAAAGGCCGCTGATTACGCGGATTAAACATTGCGCAGAGAAATAAATTATACGCCTACGCGCATCAATTTGAATCTCGAAACCATGTGATTCTTACTACAATCGCCTGTATCATTCCCACTGCTTGCAGGATGTTTTATTCAGCGCGATTCTCTTTCCCATTTTCTCCTAGTACGCGACGATTGCATCCTATTCGATGAAATCTAAGGAACATCTTATGGTTTATAAGATACCAACACTCCTATTCCTTGTTCACGTACAGAAACAACCATTCGCACACTGCTTAAATAGAAACCAAGAAACAGCTCCGCGTTTAATACATTGACCAAATTACTCGAAAACAATTACAAAAACAGAACCGATGTATAAAAATATTTAGCATAGTCTAAATAACAATGCGACTTAAGAGCTCCGACACCGAATCATTGCTAATTCATTCCAATCCCACCCGTTCGTTATGACACGATATGTTACACGAAACGCTCTGAATTCCCGTGGCGGCCGACGTGTTCGCCTCGGTTCATAAATCGTCGGCTAAAATTCCTCGGACAATAGGCAGTAACAATATGAACAACCCGAGAGGTCTATTTTCGTTCCGCGTCCCTCCGATAGCCGTGCATCCGATCGGGCCCGGGTATTTCAGCCCGCGCGCATCTGACATCGACAAAGCGGCGATGTTCTCCCGTGGGTCCGTCCGACGAATGGAACGGGGAACGATCGTCGTCTAGCGGTGTCAGTGTGTTACACGTGCTCGGATGCAATGGGCTCGTCGCCTACGCGCGCGAGCGAGAGAGCCTCTCGTACTACAAACCGGACGCGCGCCCGGCGGATGTCTGCGTGACGGGTCGCGCAGCGCAAAGGCCGACAGTTTCGCCCGCGACGGCGAAACTTTCTGGGAACCGTCCGCGAAGCCCGCGCGAGCTATCGGCGATCCAATTCGCCGATTATCCGACCGGCGGGTGCAATTGTTAGGCGGTCGTTGCTCCCCGCTCGTGGACTTCGACGCGATTTTCCTGATTGAATAACGAGACGCTCGACGCTTATCGCGGACGCGGGCTTGCTCCGAAACGGCGGCCGTTCGCAGACGATGCTCTCCGTTGCGATCGCTTTACCATGCAGAACGGAGGTGGTAACGTCGGACAGGGACGACGGCGTTTCGGGAGATAAGTTATGCGGTTGGAAAGTAAACGCCAGAACCACGGGAATTTATTAATCTCTGGGATCTCCTATTATTCTATATTACGTTGCAGTTCTTTTCCGCTCGGGACTCGTACGATTCTTTACGCCTCCGACGTGTCGGCCCGTTATTGCGTTAGATAATATATGGGAATGGGAGTTTTGGTTTCGGCTGTTGGGGGTTTCTGGAAGTGCGAGTAAATATTGCATCGCGAATACGGTGTTGTGTAACAGGATGGAAATTTAGAAAGATTGATGGGTATGACGAAAGAATGATGTGTTGTTGAGGTTGAGAATCACTGGCGTTTCATTTGGTAAAGCGGATAGAACATCGAAGGTGTCGATGCAACGAAAATGTTTATGCATTCGGCGTTATATCACCGCGTTCCGAGAAGCACGACCGGCGAAATAGTGAAATGCTAATGAAGGGAGGCCTGCATGGATTTTCCACTTTCCCATGTGGTGTGGGAAGAAATAGGGTGCATCCCAATTAAAGCGACCTTCCTTCCCGATGGATGCTTCACATCCGCGTTTCAAACGGCGCAGACACGACTCGGGGTGTCTCTAATCTGCTACGGTTAAATATGCCGCTCGCGCCGGCGAGAGCTCGATTAAAGTCGATGCGAGTTATTCACCGCGTGGGTGGATCCTCTGCAACGTTGTTCGGTATAGAACCTTCGCCTCGATCCGCGTTTTCATGGGACTTGAATTCGCACGAAGCTTAGAGCGCACGCACCGTTTCGAGACCGATCGCCGATGCTATCATTCACCACGCATTGAAATCACCTGCGCCGACTTTCTAGTAATTACGCTTCACGATACCCGGACCGATTGAATATTTATGCAAATACTCGTTTTCATGAACGAAGCCGGAGAAAGCGAAGTTCAGAGGAATCTTCTTTCGCGAAGGAACATCGAGTCGAGCAAAGATTACACAGCGAGGACAGAAAGTTTCTACGGTGCAAACGGCGTTAACTAGAAATCGAGACGCCGATCTAGAGGTTAAGTAGCAATATCGTCGGTCGATGTATATAAATCTCTATGTACCTCGGTGTCTGGCGCATCCGCGAGGCCTTGTAATTAAGAGGCACCCGTCGTAAGGCAAACATCGTCCGACGCGGACTCGTTATCTCTCGCTTGTTCTTTGCGCAGACGGCGTTACCTTGAGCCCGACACACTCCTCTTTGCTCCATTTGTCACGATAACGCGGAATCGGCATTAATTGGCAGGCCGCGGTTGGGTAATCGATCACCGCGGCCGGCTGATTTATGGAGAACTTCGTCGAGGTGATATCCCCCGCCCACGCGGCGGAGTTTGATCGCGAGAAAACGCGGCGTTCTATCTTCCGAGTTGTTCGGTCGAGATATCGGCGAAATATCGGGTTTCGCTGCGCGACGTCGCGGTCGGATTCTATTATTCGATTGGAAAACGAAAAGAACGATACCGTCGCGCGTCCGGCGAAGTTCCTCGGAACGTTTCCAGGCGACGGGGAAAAGTATCGCCGGTCGGGCACGCGTTTTCCAGACGAGTGTCACCTGTTTACGACGGATTGCATTACGTGGGCCAGAGCCAGTGACGACACGTTAATAGATCGATGTCGAAGGACACTCGTAGGTTTGCCCGGCGGAGTCACACGAGACGATTACTGGGATTTCATTTCATCGATCTGCAGGCGCATTCTTGCATCAGCGACGGATTTGCGACACCGGAGGCGACAGCACGTCCTCCGGCCGACGTCGAAGGATTTACGACGATTTTATGGATCCTCTTTTTTCGTTTCAAACGTTTCCTCCGTTCCACGCGCGGCTATTCCGTCGATTCGAGAACCTTTCGCGCGGGGCTAACGATGAATACCAATAACGAGTTTGAGAGTCCTTTAAATGTAGAAGCCTTCGCGAGGAAGCCGACTTCCCGATCAAGTATTAAAGCGGAGTCTTCGAGTGAGAAACTTGAAACTCGGATCCCATGGAACTCTAACTCGATTATAATAGATGGATAACAAAGATAGTGCCTCCAAGGGGAATGTACAATGGAAGTAGCGAAATCATCGAATGGCATCAACGGGATAATCTAACCGCTCGAACGGTGAAAAATCGAAGGTGCAGTCTCATCTCTCTCTCTCGAGGCTATTATCGAACATTGTTGAACAACGTCCAGTAAACAGACGCTGGCAACATAAAACCCATTCATTCCCGAAACGCACTTGAAACGAGTTCACCATTTCCTCGTTGCCAGTCATTCGCCGTACCGAAAGTGCGCTCCGGAGGTCTTCAGAGCCTCTCAGCCCCGCGACCTCTTTATGGGTGCGGGAACGGCCGCGATGTTACATCTTCCGGCATCGTCGCGTCGCTCGATCCCACGAATAATCTTCCTCTCTTTCGAGAGGCGACTCTCCCGGTTATCAGATCGCTCGTTTGCGCGAGTCTACTTGAAAGAAGAAAAATAATAAATGTAAATGGCACTTCTGGCGGATGGCTGAGCGGCCTTCAGTTTCATTTCTGCATTCAGACCCGTCGATCCTCCGTCCAGCGGTCCGCTGTCGTTTATGTAAATTAAATCGAACCGCGAAGGAAATGAGAAAGATTCCGAGTGGACTATATTCGAAGTATTCCACGATAAATCGGTTAACAGGTGCTCGAATCGGTTCATACGAAACGATATTAATGTCTCTGAAAATTGTATCCTGAATTAATAGCCCTCCGCGGCGTTTAGCTACATCGAACAGCTCAGTTATTGTCAGCGGAAGATTCATTGGCCACGACTGCAATTGCTATCGCATTAGGAGTTAATTAAGGAATCTTTAATTGTCGAAAGAAGCTATTAAGCAAAAACCGCGTGGGCTAGTTCCGCGGTACATCGAAGAATAACTCAATTATCGTCGCAACACGATTTATTGATTCGCGATTGCGATTGCCGTTAATGTTAAGAAGTTAATTAACACTAGAACTACCAGATGGCTCGGAATTACCCATTCCCGATTTCTTCTTTCGGAATTGCTCGAAACGTATAAATGCTTCTCTGAGAAATCGTTAAAGAAGATGATTTAGTGATATCTACACTGAAATAGCCAATTCGAATCTTAATACAGTTATAAGTTCTATAAAGAAATTTCGTAAGGTCAGTTCAAGCGTTTGGTAGTCCTAGTGTTAAACGATTCTCAATCGCCGAAAGAAACTGTTAACCCTTTGCACTCCGAAGTTTTTCACTAGAAATATTTCAACATTTTCTGATGAGATGAAGACGATATTTTGTAAGACCAACTCGACGAGGAATTCACGGGAATTGACGGACAAAGCTATTTTACGTCAATATTTCTCAGATTGATGCATTGTATGAAGTATAATATTAAATATAAAATTTTATAGCTTGTAGATCAAGTGGTGACTGAGAGTCACCTCCCGAGTGCAAAGGGTTAAGCGAAAAGCGGCGGGAATAAGGGCGAATGCTACATTCTCGATTCACGATGATACACGACCAACGTTGTTCTTTTCTGTTCCCGTTCAGGCTCACGTAATCTCCAGACGCGCTGCGCCGCACAGCGTCGCCGGGACTCTTCAGTAGTCTGAAAGCCGAGGAATCCGGTGGTGCATCTAAATAGGGAGGACACTGGTAGCTGAAGAGGGACTAAACGCCGGCGAAGACGAACGGGAGGGGGCCGGTGCGGGCCACCGGGACACTCTCGAGCCCTTTCTGCCTCCAGGATGTCGTACACCAATCGATTCCCGCCTTCTCAGCACACTCGTTATCGCAGCAGCTGGGGGCCGTCTTCGGTGACTGTGTTCAATCGGGCGGACGTACCGAGGCCTTCGCCGGAAGAGGAAGAATACGCCGACTTTTATCACGAGCGTCTGCACTCGGCCCAGAGCAGACAGTTGCTGCCGCTCCAGGAGGACCTCGCCGATTGGATCAATAAAACGTTGAGTGAGTACTTACGCAGACGTCTACTGAAAATCCGTGGCCAGGGGCTTGAGCCCCTATCCCCTGCCGTTCTATACAAGGTGTCTGAAATGTTCACAGCCAATCTCAGACTTCACAGTTTACTCGTGATCGTAGGACACGGTGAAACTGGAGGTAATGTCGATGATTTCAGCGATGAAAGAGGTAACAGAAATGCGCTGGGAGAGAAACGGAAGTATGGGAACAATGGACGACATTCTCGACGAGCGTCGAATCGAATGGATCTACCTTGAAACGCGTGTCGCATTTTATTTATTGACTAATCGAAGATCCTGATCGCGAGGTGTGACGAAGTAAAAAATGAATGAGCAGTTCTTGCGATCGAAGGAGCGCGAGTTTAATTGAGATCGTTAGGCTCGCATGGTTACTCGACTTTTTCTCTTGAACTTTCGTTCACGTGTGCATCATCGAAGAGGGCAATTAAGTTCCTCTTCAATCAATTCGTGTATAGACACACCGCGCAGCGATTTCATAGGACTTTTGACTGATGAGCGAGCCTCGCTGTATTCATACCGGTGATTCAGCTATCCGGTGCAAATTTCCGATAGCCATTAGCCGTTAATCAATAAGTCTTCTGATTGATGAAGGGAGGCCGTGGAAATTCACCCTTCGCGCGGCGTAACGTGGAAGCTCCGTTTTTCTATTGTTCTGCGAATTTCTCTTTACGTAATAGCCGAATATTGCGGTGAAAATCGCGGATCTGAATATCCACGCAACCGTAGTCGAGCTTAGATGGTCTTTTTTGTGCGCCGCGAACGAAAGTTACCGGGTGATGTAACGATGATCCAGCCAGAAGTCGCTGTTATGCGCAGTTTTTTCCGTGAACGAGCGTTTCCTTCGCGAGTTGTGAGTTCACCTTAATGGGACGGAGATCGAGGCACGCATGGGGATGTGACGTGCGCACGGACTGCATACGCGGCTCTCGCGCCGCACAAAAGGCTCGCATCTGGCACGACGTGGGAAAGGATATTCGTAACATTTGGCCTTTCGTTTCGTCGCGTTTTCGGCCGGACTGTCACGCGAGACCATGCGAAAGAAACGAGGAAGAAAAAAAAGAACTCCCGGCCACCGCTGTCTCTTGAATGAAATTTAAATCGCGTGCCACTGATCTGGTTTGTTCGTTCTGGACGAAAGTAACGTGACTGGATCGTCTGGATTTGATTTGTACGAGAACACTCGAGTACTCGTTCATTACCCTGTCACGTATCAATTATGTCAAGCGGTTTCACATTAGAGATTAGCGTATCAACGAACTATTCGTCGCTGAATTAGAAGCAATTTTCGTTTATGCCTCGGAGGATTGCGGCTCGATAAACGTATTATTGATAAACGAATGAAATATATTAGCTCTACTCGGTTTCGTTCCAGTTTACCGTGAAAAGCCAGTTCCTTTCGTGCTCTATTATTTGCCGCACGCCGACCGAAGAAAAGCTCGATACGATCGATAGCAGTAATTTTACCGGGCTACTTGTTTTTCTCTTGAATTTCATAGACCGGACTGCGGCGCGAACATCGGTGCCCGATATTTTCTGATCCGCGGGCCGATACGTTGGCGAATTTCAAAGTAGGTGAAAGTTTTCTCGAATCGACTAGACTAGTTCGCCTCGCGAAGAACCGGCACGTTCGCAGAAGCATCGCGCCGAGTAGATTGGCGCAGCCTAAAAAGTTTTTTTTCTGGTTCCGCTCCAGGTAGCAGGGGTAAGTTCGACGAATACGAATCGTTCTCTGCTTGTTACTCGATCGTTTCACCAGCTACTCGCTCCGAATCGTTCCTCTTTCTGATTTCTCCGAACGTTTTTCGAGTTCCCGCGTTTTTACCTGTTCGCCTGGATCGCGCAAAATCGAGCTAGCCTCCAGCATCTCGATCATCGAGCGTACCGCGAGTTGTCAGGCCGTCGAGTAATTATTCTTCTAATTGGGCAAAACGAACCGGAGTTAATGAAATTTATGGAGCAGGTCGCGAGGTTGATTTCCGAGGGCAACGCGGATATTCCCCCGTTTTTTCCAGCCGGCTATTCGTGGAAGACCGATGTTTATTTCAATCTCGCGCACTAGTGTGACCGCTTTTCTGAACTAGTACTTTCCTAATACGGTGCCAATACGAGTCGATGCGTAAAACCGAACCGCCCCGATATATCGACCGTCGAAGTCGCACTCGCGGCGGTTCTGCACGGTAAATAACACCGTTTCCTACCGAAGAATATAGAATTGCGGTCTATGATGTTGTAAAATAGAGGTTGACCGTATCGATTTCAAAATAATATCTTATGAAATATGGTATCTATATGATATAGATTAAAAGAATACCGGTAACACAGAAATCTTGAATATTTCACTGTGATCTATTCGAAATCAGAGGTTCTCCCGACATTTTTATATCGTACCGTGGAAAACGTCACGGATCTATGTAACCGAAAGCGTTGTTTCCGTTGTTAGTCATCGATATTCGTTATCCAGGCGATAAAGATTAAGACCTCGTAAAGTAGAATCGAAAGGCGGAATCTAAATCGATTTGTTCGTTCAGCGTCTATTTTATCATCGGACCCCGTTGTGCCGGCATCTTATCAGTACCGAAGGCAGGTTGTTTCGGTACGAAATGTCTGGTAACGTTGCCATATATTTTGGTGAACGGAAAGCGTGGTTTCACGCGACCTCGAAGAATCCAGCCGCAAGATCTGGACCACCGTGGAAGATTGCGACACGAGCGGTCTCGGGGAAAAAAAAACGACTAATACGCGGATAAGTTGGCACCGTGTCGTTGCACGAGATGCGACCGGGGCGGTTTCAATTCGGCTTAAATCGCGCGAAGCGTCGTTCGTGACCGTTTATCAGCGAGGAAATTTACGGCTTTCTCTTTGCCGCGCCGGAAACACATATTCCGCGCTGGTGTCACTTTATCCCTTGTCAGGAGAACTAAACAATCCAATGAATTTTCAATTTAGACGAATTTACTGGAATCCTTGCATCATCTCAACACCAGACAGGTCAAAATGACTCATTTCTGATTTCTTCTGTTTGCAATTGTTAAAAGGATAACACATAGTCCTCTAAGAAATTATTCAAGAAATTGATTTAGCGATACGCAAACTGAACTGTAAATCAATTAAAGTCTCGATAGATGCACCCTTGGAGTTGAATTTCAAAAGAACTGAAAGTCGCTGAAAAGAGACATTCGGAAATTTCGAAGCTCGAATCTATAAAAATTCGAGAAGTCCAAGTTCCCGTTGAAAGGGGGATGTCAATGAAGCCTAAGGTTAGTGTTAAGGACGCAAATCAGCATGAACATCCGCGTTCTAATAATATCCCGACGCCGGTAATGAATCGAAGCAGCGTTATATCGAGGTTGATCAGACGCGTCTAATTATATCGCGGCGCAATATCACGGTGACACGTCGGTCTCCGCGCGGCTTCAAAGCCCAGAACGACGGAGATAGGTCGGCAGCCTTTATGCTGGAATCGTGTGTGTATCTCGGCCGTGTAGTTACTATTCTCGTTCGCGAGTGTACGATTGAAGTGCTCACCCACACCGTGCCGCGCGCGCAGAACGCTTGAAATGCGCCGTGTGCCGGTCAGCACTCCTGTCTGCATTGAATCGAGGGGAAAGAGGGGGCCGGTGTGCGGCCGGGGGATGGGGTCGAAGGGAATTTCACGCGAGGCAGGAGGAGGGACGCGCGCGGGGCATCATCCGCGCGATGCGGAAAAATAACCGAACGCGAAACGCGTCCAAGTATGCGCCGTTTCAACTGAATTATTTCGATTCATCTGCGCCGGTCAACTCGATTATCGACGTTCCGGTCGAATATGCAAATCGATAGAAATCTACGCCGGCCGTCCCGGATTTTCCGGACGACGTTGCAGCCGACGCCGCTCCTGGTTCCGCCGGTTTACCCGTCCAATTATAAACGGAATAACAAGATTACCTTGAGCTTGATATTTATTGTATTCAACGAGGATGCACGGGGAACAGGCCCGGCGCGTTTGTGGAAAGAGGTTACGAGCGATACGCTCGGAACGTATCTTGAATCGTTTATCGGAATCAATTTCTTCCTACGCGTTTAATCTGTATATTACCGACACGCCGAACGCTGGAATTAATTGCTAATTATACCGGAGAGTCCGGAGTAATCGAGGAACGATGATAAAAACGAACGATTCAAGGACAGCCGGGCCGTCGTTCGAACGGAGAATCCTTCTGCCCACGCGCGTCTCTTTTATGGGAATGTCAATCAATGGGGATTCATACGAATCGCCGAAATTCCACGCAGATTATTGGAATCGTACGCGGTCGCTCGGGACATTTCGACCCACACCCTGCGTCTCGCAGAGTTGCAACGGGTCTGACTCAACCGGAAGTCGACCGGGCACCCCTCTTCCTTCGTGCCACTTCTTCTCTCCCTGCATCGCGGTTGTACCTGAAGCCGCATTACGCATAATGGGCGGTACGCCTTCCTAATACGCTTGCGCGTGTGCGAGCGCGTCGAATCGACGGGGTTCGCGAACGGATCGCCGGTTTGGCACGGGCCATGAGCGAGCGGCGAGCCGTGAACCTTGCATACGGAACCTATAGCTTCTTCCTCGTCGATTCATCCTCGGTCCTTTTCACGGACCCACCCCGAAATCTCGCGGAGAGCAATTTAACCCCTTGCCCTGATGACTTCCTTTGTAACTACGTTCGCTGGAATTACTTTGTCGTTGATAATGCACTGGAAATGGAAGAAAATTCCGTGTCCATTTAGTGCCGGTGATCAATTGAAATCTCGATAAACGTAATCTTTGGGTTTCTATAAAAATATTGGAAAAAATAAGATTGACTGCGTGGTAGTTCTAGTGACAAAGTGTACGAATTGTAGAATTAAATTGGAAATCTAAAGAATTGAGTGACGCGATATTATATGGCGAGGGGTTGACGCTCAGTCCTTGAATTTACATCGGAATCGCGCGGAAATTGAAACGGAGAGCGGAAATTGATAGTGTTCATTGGAAAAGGTTTTCTGCGATTGATGTCTCCGTAAGCTGGGCGCGAGGAATAATTATCATGGCCTGATTGTTCTCGAGCGTTTAGGGGTGTGTTGCCGCATGATGAACGATAAGATACTTGACCTCCTGCACAATAAAAGACACGCTCGTAACGTAAGTGAATTACGGCGCGAATATTTCTGGAGGTTTTATTACAATTTCGCAATAGAATTATTCTAGAAAGTCCAGCGATGTCTGGCACAACTGGAATATCGTTTCTAGTGAAAGTTCCTTTCGTTAACTTTCCAGCGAAAAATTCCTCCGAAGAGGGAAGATGTCGGATGGAACTGCGAGGGGCGAGGATAAATCAAGCTGGGAGATAAGCATCGTACACGAAGTAACGCGATGTTAAAAAGAAGGTCCAATAACTCACGCAAGTGTCCTTCTGCCGGAGGATAGCTTGTGTGTGGCCGGGCACCGATGAAATTAAAATTGTCGACTCGAGTTTTATGGTAACCGGCGATCGCAGTGATATATCGCGTTCGAATTAATGCACCGATCGAACAATGCCAAGGACAGCGGATCGGTGATGCTGTAAAAGGATCGAGTCGCATTAAAGAGGTCAGGCGAGTATTAAAATCGAAGGGTAGCATACCAAGGATATGAAGGAAATGCAGGTCACGGTGTACGATAGTTATCGACAGGAGGCGTATCTTAAAATGGCAGTTCCATCGTTTTCTAAAATTCGGTCGTCAACGGGTTCTCTAGGATTGAAGCTGTCACTTACGAGATATCCAGCTAATTCCGCTCCACCGAGTATCCCATGCATACCCAAGTATTTCAATTACTCGGTTAAAGGTACCGGCACTGCCCAGAATCCAACGTAGGGCTTTCGCCGGCAATGAAATTCTCAAAGTATCCGGCGTTGCTCAAATATTTACACGTGTCTCTGTCGACAGCGAGCCGTAAATCTCTTCCGAGAGACAATGTTCCACTCGATTCGGCCCGATATCAGCATCTAATTACCAGTCCGGATTGCCGGGCCTTTCTTGAAGCGGCCTGGCGAGAATCGAGCGGCATTATTACCCTACGTAACGTCAAACATAAATTAGACTCGGTGCTCGGGTATCAAGCCACGGAGTTCCGGGTGACCGAGTTGTGTAGTTCGTCGCTCGGTTCGCACTCGGATATACGCTCACGCCCGTGATCTTTCGTAAGATCGAAACGGAGTTAGGCATCCTACGAGAGGCAGCTGTTATCACGAGCAGCCGCCGCGCCGCGCTGCGCCATTGTGTCCCAACCATATGCGAACAATATTCGCGATCCAGATTCAGCCGGCGGATCCGTGGATACACACCGATCACGGTGCACGTGTACGTTGGTACGTGTGATGGACTTTACTCCATAAGCCCGCCCGTTAAAACCTTTTTTTTCCCGGGTTCTCTCTGCCCCGGGTGCAACCCTATTGTTACCGGGTCGAGTCACGAGCCCGCGCGCCGGTTCTCATTACCATCCGTATCTGCGAGGCTTTATCGCTCCGTCAGCCCAACCTAGTTCCTATTTCCCATCGTATCCCCGCCTATATCTATTATACTCCGCGCACGGATCGTGTCGCGGGTTTTCCTTAGATTACCCGGCCGCCGATCTGTCCCCGGGACCGTGGGAGAAACCGCGCGAGGTGTCCGCCGCTCGAACGGGACCGAATTCGCTGGGCCCTTGATCCCGTTTCGCGTACGCGGGCCCGTCGCGTCGCCGCCAACGAAATTGAAATGATATTTCGAAGTGTCACGCACGAGTTGGCCTATCGTGAGAGTGTCCCGGCCGGATCGGTTTCTCGCTCGACCGAGCACGCCGGCGAGTTTCTAAGCCGGTCCGATTTTTCGACGGATCTACATCCTCGCCGGAGGAAGCGACGGAAATTAATATAGGCTCGGGCCACGGCCGACGATACGGAGAAGTAGTACAGCCGTCAGCCGAGCGGAATCGGTAGGCGATCATCGACTTAAACGAACACGGTGTTACATCCGTGGAAAAGTTTCTCCGGTCGTGATGAATCGCTCGGTACAACTCTTTAACCCTCTAATCAATCGGTCGGGATCGTAGCGGATGAATGGATTTCGTGGACGAGGAGCGTAACGATCCGATGTTCCTCGTGCAATTGGACTGTTCATACGTGTCGAGGAATTCAGATTGAAGCCGATTCGAGCGCAGGATACGCCGGGCTTTCATAGGTAGCGGTTGCGCAGATAAATCTGCAGCGATTCAGGCCGCTCGATCGTTTCTCACGTTCCCTGACGCGACCGTGTCACTTCACGGGCCCCCGTCCGATTTGATGGATGTCGATAGCGATTCGAGGTTAATTCGCCGCGCCGTGAAACCGTCTAGCGCTGCACAGACCCGATTTCTCGACTTTTCTTTCGTCGATTCAGACACCGTGACCACCCTCCTCGCGTTCGGCACGATTTTCGACGTCAGGTTTTCATCGATGCGCCTGCCGAAGGACTATAAAGAGAGCGTAATTAAGTTTCCCCCGTCGCGCACTTAGCTACCCGGAGAACTTGCTTACGGAGAATTTCTGTGACAAAGCGACAGTCACCCTCTACCGTTGCCCGAGAAGAATTTGACTGCGCTGGAGAGCGTAAGGAGGGTTGCTCCATTGTTCCCGACAATGTCGCCACTTGGTCGATACCCTTGAATGTTCTCGAGTGACCGTTTATACCGTTGAACCGTTCACCGACGCGGAGATCAGCAGAAAATGGTTCCGCCGTGGAATTTCTTCGTTTCAATCAAAAACTAATCGAAACACTCGCTTCTCCGCGTTTCAGACACGGAATATGTAACCGGCGATAATTTCTTCGATGCTCTCGACAATGGGGTGGTGGTGTGTCGATTGGCGAGAGTCATTCAGGAGAAGGCGAGGGTGGCGGTCGATGCTGGGAGAGCTAAAGGGGTAAGCAACTATTATCTCACGTTACGAAGGGGTGAACGTTTCTGAAGAACGAGGGTGTTCTAACTCGTACAATACATGTTCAATTTCTAATGACTACACTGTGGATAATTAATAACCGGACTAGTAACCCTCTTTCACTGGAAATATTCAACGTTTACCAGTTTTATTTCAATATTTCACACATCGATGCATCGCGCGAGTCACCTCCCGAGTACACAATGCTAATAACCATGTTCTCGGTGAAAAGCATTTGACAAATATTTTCCAGCCGATACCAGCGATAAGGGGACGATGCTGGGAGAACGCAGCCAGACGAAGTTTCTTCTCCCGCGACAACATGGAGAACTTCATCCAATTCTGCCGGCGTTTGGGCGTTCACGAGAACCTCCTATTCGAGAGCGACGATCTGGGTAAATCTAGCCAATTAATTTCAATTTTCCGCGTATTGATCTTCCTCCACGCGTCTCGGTCGCGTCGCGCGACGGTCGGAGAGCATCGCGATGAACCCGCGCACTCGATGAAAAGCGAAACTCCCGGCAATTACGCGAAGCAGCACGGTTCCCGCGACCGTTGCCGGTAGGTATGCAAATTCAAAACGCTTCCGAGGCGAGAGTAATTGTTCCGAATTAACCGCGTCTCCTCCGAGAAGTGAAAAGACCGCGAGGGCTCTTTGCTCCCGCCTGACCGGACTCGAATGCCATCGGAAACAATGCGTGGCCGTGTCGGTGACGCCGGAGGAAGAACGAGAAGGAGCTACGGTGGTTTCGAGCCACGCGTTTTTGTTGGGACTTCGTAGGGGAACGATGGTAGGGATCGCGTGGCTATATTACATTCTGCATCTGCTCGCTTTGCGAATTCTTTGGGGTTTTTACGCATGTGTGGAACTCTGAAGCAACGAGTAAAATAACATAGGTATCACTGGTAATCCGTTGAAACTATTAAAATCAGGTCAGTTATTACACATTCTTCGAAGTCTCAGAACGCCGACGATACGATGAGAAAATCATTTCCAAGTTGTTCCCAGATATTCCATATTTGCAGATTACTGTTTAATATATATAATACGCTGTGCACCGTGATATAGAATTATTTAATAGTACGATCCGTGTAATTGGCAGTTCTCCACGGACAGCCACGGAACGTCGTGCTGTGCCTATTGGAGGTGGCTCGATTGGCTTCGATCTATTCCGTGGAGCCACCGGGACTCGTGCAGCTTGAGAGGGAAATTGCCGCGGAACAAGAGAGGGATCTTCACTGTTTGTCCGATAGCGGTATATCTCACAGCAGCCTCGTCTCTTGGCAATTCCAATCACCGTCCCCGACCGCGACGCCTAGACCACCAGCCGAGAAGATAAAACACAGCAGGTATAAAGCCTAAAGTACTGCTATTGCTCCTTGAACGGTCTGCGTTGCTTGTCACGGCTTGTTCGTGCCAAAACGATCCGAGATTGATCCTTGTCCCGTACACCGCTTATCCAGCCCTTTGTCCGATCGGAATGTCTCGGTCCGAGACTAATTTGTAATATCAAATATCAAAATATCAGATACTCTTCGTTTCACCGTGATGGCGTTCACTCTTAATACGATACACGGACGGTTCACTAATTTGACCGACGACCTACGACCCGATGAAACACGATTCGAGGAGTCAGATTCGATCGGGGCTCCGCCGTTGGCTGAAAAAGGATTCGCCTAATGGGTGAATCTGCGAGGCGTTACATTCTCAGAAAGACAGCGTACACTTACCTCAACCGTAACGCAATGCCGTAGGAGTGGCGGTGTTTCGTGGCGTGTAAACCTTACGGTATTTACGGCGAACCCATGGCAGATACACCGGCGTAATTATGATAAGCAACAGAAAGCGCGCGAGCCGTACCTCTCTTAACTACCGTTGTCGTAAAAACAGCGCCGAGATACCTTTTAACGAAGAATAGCGAGATGATTGTTGTATCGTGTTACCGACGCGTGCGCCGGAACCTTTAATAACAGCAGTGAAATGAAAAGCCGTTTGAACGATCCTGATTTTTTTCGACGATAGCGTATAATTCTGCTCACGCCACATTTTTATAGCTCGGCGTCGGAGGTGGCGTCGTCGGCGACAAGATGGCTGGACACAACGACCGGTGCCACCCACGAACCTGAAATGCGGCGGTCGGTTAGCGATAATGGGCCACAGGGTAGCGATGGCGTGCCCAGTGATACTACGGAAGACGATTGGTCCCGTGGAAGCGCGGAAGATCCAGACGAGGTTCCATCACCGTCGAGTTCACCTTTGCCCTCGCCAGCCGAGCCGCCGGAACACACGGGCCCCATAACGGAACTCGATCGCAAGGTAAAACGATTTATAGGAGAAACTAAACTGTCTATCAACGTATATCAAGCGGAGTCTTTCTCACAGTCATCCGCCACGTCGGTCATTAACAGTCCTTTTAATTGAAAAATGTCGATTACGTTCGAAACTCTTCGGATCTTAATTTTATTTGAACTAAATAGAAATGTTTCGTTGATATTTTTATCGCACTCTTTTCTCCTTTTATCCGGGGAACCATTTTTAAGCGTGAAAGATTATTAAGGCGGTATAGAAACAAGGCTTCGCGCTTAATTCACGTCGCGTCACGTTCGCTATGAATGGCGAGTGCAGAAAGAGAGACAGAACGGAACACTAGAAGCACGTGTAACGTATCGAGTTCTAAGTTAACTGTTTCGGTACATTGCTCTTTGATCTCGTTTGCAAAGTATGTACGTGCACGTAACATTCAATATTTACATTAATCGAATTCCGTCTGAGACAGAAAACAGTTTGATTGTTCGTATGAACGCATTATTGATTCTTACACCATTCTGAAACGAAAATTGAAGGTAATTTACGTCTACGAATGTGGAAGAAATAGAAATTTCTAATTCGTACGCCCTTCCATTATCATAAAAGATCCTTGCAGCTTTTTCACGTATGCGATCGCACGCTCGTAGATTCTTGCGTGTCGAATTCCTGCACACGCAGAAGCGGATGTTACGCGGCATTGCATCTTCGGCTGTCCCCGCCACACGTCACGTCGATTTATCTCGCGTGACGGTCGATCGTTCTTCGTCCTACGGGGCGTTCCTCTGTCGGCTTAAAAATATGCTGCTACCATTTCATGCATACTTTTCACATTGTCTTTTGTCCCTTGTTTGCTTCAGGTAAGGAGAGCCACGGAGGCTGTCCAGAGACTCTGCCAGTGTCCCTCAGAAAAGTGCTCTAAATTGAAGGTGCGCAAAGTTGGCGAAGGTCGATACCACATCGCGGGACGAAACGTCTTTATCAGGGTTAGTTAACAATTCTGATTGACCCTATATTAATATACCGCGGATTTTTATGTGCTTACAATATTACTAGACAAGATCTAGCAAGAATTTCATATTCTTCACCAACCAGCAGCATTCGTCTAGCTTTTAATTCCTGTTTCCATAAACTATTTCTTAGAAACATGAATTCCCATAAAGATCCTCAGTTTCTGGAGACCCGCGCGAAAAGATGCACGGCGTTTCTTATATTGCCGTGCGTCTCTTCTGCACCAGTGCTCCAGCGAATCCCCTTGGATACAAATCCAAGCGAGTAAGTACAAACTACTAATGATCCCGGTACCGACGTGTTCGCAGTTGCTGAAGGGTAGACACATGATGGTCAGAGTGGGCGGTGGCTGGGACACCTTGGAGCATTTCTTGGCGAGGCATGACCCCTGTCAGGTGAGGACCCTCAACCGCGAGAGCACGTCGCCTTCACCCCACGGCAACAAGCACACCAACTTTCTTCCCATTCGCGCCAAGTATCGCAGCCCCCCGGCGGAATTCGTCTCGGCCCGCTAGCCTAAAAGCACAGTGCCTGTTACAAGTCCACGCTACTTCACGTTCATGCTGCTGTTAGTCTGTTACGTACAAGTAGAGTACGGGATACGTCGACAGGGTGGCGTCGCGAGGCAGAGGCGCGGTTTGTCTGTGCGCGCGAGAGGTGACTGAACCGTGACGTGTTTTTAGGGGAACCAACGCTGATAGGATAGACGCTGGGGATTACGGGCACGATCGATACTCGAACTATTAGGTGGTAACGTACATAAGTTCGGTTTAAAGTATGAACATGTTATAATTTTGAGAGTGCAATGATGACCCATTGAAAATACGTACGACTGCGACGAAGAAGAAGCTACTTATGGTCGATTCCTAATGTTATTTCGCTGTTGCGTGAAGCTGTCGAGACAAACAAATGTTCAATACATCCGAATGTGTTTATGTTACGACCCGATATTTTTTTAATCGCATTGAGGGATGGAACTTAATGAAAAACAGCTTCCTTCATTCCAACCACTGTACGGGTGCGTTGAAGATATTGAGGGATTCGTGGGCCTCGCCGGATTGATAACGTCGCCAACGTTTGTCCGCTATCAGCGATCGGTCCCCTGGTACGCGTGTTTTCGAGTCACGCCTATGCTATCACACAATTACTTGTCTTCTATTCTCGTGGTTACGTACACGTTGGTACCAAGTGCACCTATCTCTTAGATTGGATAAGTTATACAGGGGATGGCACTATTTTTTCTTACATGTCATGTAACAACGGCTGGGGAGCACTAATTATCGCAGCGTACATCCTTGCAAGCGTGTTAATATGTCATCTTTTTGCGCGAAAACTCGAGCGGGTTGTACCGTTACATTCGAGTATTTACCTCCTACTATTATTCGCTCTTCTATCGATTAATCTTCGACGAATGTATGCGTATTTACATTTAATCGTTTCCATTGTGTCCTATCGGGGCGTGCGTCGCGTTTCTATAGGATGCGTACGACGGACGGGGTGGGGCAGCTAAGTGGCACCACTTGGGTAACACTGAAAATTGCTTCTGGCGAATATCGTTTAAGACCGTCGGTGTAGCAGCGCGATTAAAATTTCTTTTTATACTCTGTATGTTTGCGAGTATATCCGGCCGCCTTTAGTATTTTAAACGAAAGATTAAAAGATTGAAGGTGACGGTCGAGGACCTTGAAAAGTGTGAGCGTGTCATCGGATTTTTCACGCTGCACGGTGTACTTTGAATCGATTGTTCGTTAAATTATCGAGGATTCTGTAAACTCTTGTTCTCCACCCACATGTGTAAATGCAACGTGCATATTTATTTGTATTTCTACCGTTAATTACTCGCGTAATAAAAGTACAAGACTATTTTCTGTACGATATTCACTCGCTTCGTCGCTTAAACGTTTAATCCTTTCGATGCTTTGAGCGCTTAAGGACTTGATCGAAGCAATTTTCGATCGCCGATCGACCCGTATTAGGCGCGATTCAATACGTACACGTACGAACGTGGATTACACGAGCGGGATTGTCCGTTAAACGCTCAAATCCCTATATAGCATCGAAAGGGTTAAGTGTCATGCATTCCACGGATGACAGGCATATTGACGCTTGATTTGGAAATTGTCTAACAGAAATAGACAGGAGGGCAATGCACCTGGTAGAGGTAGCTTTACGACCGCAATGACCAAAGTTCGCAAATGGTATGTTGAAACGACGCCAGTGACAAATAATTGGAATGTCATTTACAGTGAAGATAACGATCCAACGGTCTAATTGTTCCAATTGTAACAATGGTTGGATCAAACTCGATTGGCTGCTGAAGGTTGCTTCACCCATTCTAGCGCCACAAGGGCTTTTATACTCTGATAAGATAGAAAAAATTCCTTTAATGGGTGAGACTATTATATTGATGGCACCTACGTTTAGGGAACGCCGTGTGTTCCGTCAACGGTTTCGCTTGACTTTAAAATTCTTGTAATGATTATTTTAAACAAACTGCCAAATTTGCTAATGGATCTGTTCTAATTTGTTCGAACGGTATTTTCGCGTCAACAGAATGTGTGACGATGATAGCTAGAACAGAAAGTAGGGGTAACTTTCATCAGAGGCCTTGAGCGACCAATTGACTTACTTCCAACTTGACGATACTTCGAGCACTACGCGCGCGAGTGATTAGAAGGAAGTGCAATTAAGGACTCAGGTAATATCAGCCTAGGTCAAGAGCTTCGTCCCCTTAACGTTACATGTAATTGTACTTTCCAATTAAACGATTCCGTCTTGTAAAACTACAGTTTAAGATTTTGATGACTCTTCCAAGATTGTGCAATGCAATCTGCTTTCAGAGACATTGGAGTATCTCATGTAACTTTGTACTTGGTCATTGCTGCAGCCTGCGAAGGCGAATCTCGTAGTGCACTTAAATATCTCTAGGCACATAGATTATAAATTATAACAAATGACAGGGTCGGTTACAGTATACACAGTTCCGTTGTAAATGTTTACTGTCTTGCCGTTCAAATAATTAATCGACGATTAATTGTCCAATTACTTAGTGTTACGGACCTCAATGGACGAAATACGATAAATCATTTTGTTCTTACTATCGCAAAGTTTTATAATTGCGGACTTTTTCGTTCGCAAGATAATAACAAAGTAATTATGTTTCTTTTACAACGGCGTCATATCAGCCGACCCTGAAATTAATCATTACACTTTGGCACATTAATCGATGCGTACTCAAATCGGCTAACTCGCAAAATGCTTCACGATAACTGCCATAATACATATATATATATATTTATTTACATACATATAAATATATATATATCTATGTTTTGTACTTTTATAATAAATACGTAGGTTAAGGGATTTACAAAGGACGTTATCGTCGAAATTACATTACGCGATGTGTTTGTTGGGTTCACAGAAATGCAAGGGCACAGGAATGTGCAAAGGAATACCAAAGCAAAGAAATATGCGACGAGTAATGTCGGCACGTTGAGGCTATTGTCGTTCGAGGATTTTTTTGTTAGACTTTTTCCTATTCTGTTCAATTGACCATCGTATCGTAGGATTCTTATTTCGTACATCATTGTTCGACGCGTAATACGTAATCCATTCTGTGTTGTGGTTTCGTTCGTATTATCGCGCAGAGACTGTATTTATTTTGTAAATGGTGAACACTTATAAACCGCGATGCAACGAGACGTGTTTAGTGCATTACGCGTAGAATCATTTTTTGCTACGCGAACGAAACAATTCCGCCATATTATACTACTGTAAACGCGTTACTTGGTAAGTCTGTCTATTATAGTCCGATTAAGTTATTTGTACCTGCTTGCTTTCACGCAGAGTATTCAATACGTTTTCATCCTTCTTTCTTTGTTCGTGAAACGAATCTTTTCATTTGGAAATGAGTTTTCATCTGAAGTATTAATTAGATTGCCGTCGTGTGATGTTATTACTAGATGAACCACAAGTCTCGAAGAGAAACTGATTTGTTCTTAGAATTTTATTACACCCGGAAACTGTGTTGAGAGGTAAATTAATCTATGAAAATTTACTAAGTTGATTGTGAACACTTCGCCGCACGATGGCCATTTGCAATGTATTTTTTTCCTCGATTTGTGATATAATCATATTATATGTATTATTTTCAATTCTTGCTTCACGTTAGCAATCAAAAGATGCTTTCGTAAAATCTAGGTCGTAATCATTTCATATATTCCACGTAATGCGTACGGCTAATAACGTTAGGTTTACGTAAGTACGATGCAATTGTGTTAATTGTTATATTTTGTTGAACAATAAAATATTTAATTACGGATTCGCTCGTGTCTACGACAATGGAAATTCGAAGACGAAGCCGTTCGAACGAGTCGATTCAATAAGTAACAAATATATTTTTATTTATTCTTATGGTGGATATGTTATTACAAACAGTAACTTAAATTTGGTAAACATCACTATTGTCATGATTATCAGTCTGACAAGTAAAATTTATAATTATACAAATTATGTAAGAGGAAATTATAGCGCTTTCTAAACTTTGGATAATTTAATATTTAATTTTAGTAGTCAATTATCAAATAATTAAAATAATAATACTCGTTACATTGTGGAGTTAGAATGTATGTGGTGTCGTATTTATTTTACTTCTTCTTGCTTTTCCCGAGAGTTAGCGTGTGATGCTGAGGTTGCTGAGAGAACTGCATTTTTCGTCTGTTTAATTCTAAAATGTCGTCCTCGAGTTTCTTCCTGCTTTCTTCCACCTTTTTCTTTTCCTCTGTATGATCTTTCTTTAGTTTATCGAATTTATTGTGCAGCTGAAAGGTACGTATTAAAATAGTATTACTTCGCGAACAAAATACTGAAATAATGGAGGACAATGAAAGGAAGTATAAATTTATACCTCTTTCTCTCCTTCCTTCAATCCAGCTTCTGCTTCTTTTACTCTCACCACGAACATCTGTCTCATTTCATCCTCCTTCTGCTGAAGCTCTTGCAAGAGAATAGATCTCTTTGCCTCGCACGTCTGTTGGAAACTGACTGGTTTATTCTCACTATCTACATCGCTAAAGCCCATCTGAAAATTAAAATTAAAATTTTATACTATTACCTGAGCAAACATAACAAATTAACACTTCATATAATCACCTGCTCCAATCTTTTCTTGCGGTAAAGTTCATAATGACGGCAATGAGTTTTCTCTCTCATATCTTCCATATTTGTTCGTATTAACATTTCGCGTAATTTTACAAAATCGCAATGGGATTCATTTTCCACTATCGTAAAAAACAATAGATTATTTAAATACCATAAAATGCTGGTGTCCAAATAACATTATGATACTTTACCTTGCACTGTGCCCCATGGATATTGTCTGGAACGCATCATTTTATTTCCAACTCGAACAAAATCAGTACTACCAACTACTGCAAAAGGTACATGGGCATTCATACTAGTATTAACTTCTGCAACACTTTCATCATCAGTGGGAAACTGATAGATATGGACTCCATTATTTTGTAACTCAGATATAATTTTGCTCTTAAACTTTTGTAATTCTGTCTTTGATATTGTATCAGCCTTAGCAATGATTGGAATGATGTTCACTTTTGTGTCAAGTTTCTTCATACACACAAGATCAATAGACTTCAATCTGCAATTGTACATAAAAACAAATGATTTTAAATAGAAGAGATAGCTTTTACATATTCTTTAAACATATACGTACCCATGACCAGTGGGGCAGATGAAATACAAGCAAACATGAATACGACTATCATGGTAGGTTGCCAGAGAACGCTTTATTTTCAGTTCTTCTTGTAAATAAGCCTCAAATTGAGCATCTATATAATCAACAACTGCCTTAAAACTATCTTCCTTATTAATTTGATCCCCATATCCAACAGTATCAACAATAGTCAATTTCAGTCTAACATTGCTCTCTTGTAATTCATACGTATGTGCTTTGAGCTTCACGGATGGGAGATTATGAGGACTTGGAGTGGACTCAAAACTCGTATTAAACAGAGAATCCATGAGTGTGGATTTTCCAAGACCAGTTTCACCTATTAAAAATAATGACTAATCGTATAGCTACCTAGAAAAATGCATGCTTCCACTAAAAATTGATTAAGTATACTGTATACCAATGCAGAGGATATTAAAGAGAAATCCATTTTGTACAGACTTATTAACCAACTGATCTGGAAGACTGTCGAATCCAACATGACCAGATAATTTTAAATTACGTATGTTATGTTCCAGCTGAAAGTACAAATTAGCCATAAGTGTACAGTGAGAAATGCTGACCGGAAATTAACAGTACTGTCCTCAAATGGAGCGAAAATGTATCATCAAGAGCACTGTTATGATAGAACAGAACCAACGCCCTTCAGGCTGTAAACACGGTGCGCATACCGACAATCATTTGAGTTTACATTTGTATATAAAGAGAGCCATTCACATGACATTTTACGGTAGTCGAGACAATCAGAAACAATGTAAATAGATGTAAAATTACAAAAAAAATGACACCTACCTTGGCACGCTCAACATCCGCCGACGCCATTTTTACTACTAACGACGCCTGCGTTTACTCATACTGCAGTGCTCTGAGTAAGACGCACACATACATACTGAGTAATTCCAACAATTTCCAGCGCACTTTAATAAATTAAAAATAAATTAAACGCATATTGTTCCTAAAAATTAATGTTTAATTATTATTTTACATTTCAGATTACCGTACAAAGGAATACAATAAATCTTCTACATTTCGTATTAAAATACATGAAAGAAAACAAAGTTCATTCATGCCCGCTCATTCCAAGAATTTATTGTAATGAATCACACAATCGATTGTGCCGATACGAGTAATCAGATGTTCAATATTTACAAAAGTCTCCTCCAATTATTCCGCAAATGTAACCGCCATATGAATATTTAAATTTTCATTTTTGGATTGTTATTTCTGCCATATTCATATTTCAAACACAATTATTCCCAGTTAACGAACAACGTCGCGCTATTAATATATTCATTTACCTCGTTGGCGTTCGCAATTCTCACAGACGACGAACAATAGTTAACATATTTTCATTTCTACGAATTTCCATATCATTTTCGACACATAATGAAACAACTATTTAATTTTTCTGTTATTAAAACTTTTACCACAAAGCCTTCCCGAAATGATCATCCCCAAATCACCAAGACAATCATCCCCCAAGCACGATATTTATATCTACAACATTAACCAATAAAATATCCCCGAACACAATTCGTATTCCCCGAATGATCGTTCGACCGATTCATAAATCCCGCCGACCCCCCACCGAACATGCGCACGCACCACTGGGCAGGTATTTACAGGCTCAGTTGGTGTTGGGACTGCGAGCGCGACGCTAGGGTGTTTCACGCTGGCGTGCTGGCAGACCGCTCATAACAGTGTCTACTTTCTAACATGGCAGATCAATTTGTGTTGTATTATCATGTGACGGGGAAAAGCTCTCGTGCATAAGGACGGTCTTCGTGTAAACTATCGTAGATTCTCCTCGCGGGGGAAACGTGTTGCCAGCATACGAGCACCGTCGCGATGGCGGACATGAAGAGTCCACCGTTCAGTGACATTAAACGGCCCGAGGAGGTGGTGGCGATGGCGATGAACGACAGCCTGAAATTCGCCGTGCTGATCGGGCTGATCGAAGTCGGACAGGTGTCGAATCGGGAGGTTGTCAACACCGTGCTTCACCTGGTGAGTAACCCTAAATATTCGTATACGTGGTGGTCAGTGCCGGCCGTCCGTTTTCACGGCCATTCCCGCCGATTTCGGTGCATCGGCCGAAATCTGTCAATTCGAACTGTCAAATCCACCGTGGCTCCACGCGTCGTCGCCACGCACACCGTGGATTATCGGTGTATTTATCGGTTATCGTACGGGGCACCATAGAAGCGCGCCGAGCCCAAGGACTCGCCGTAACTTTCCCGATTGTTTCGCGTTCGATTCTAGTCAAGTTTAACCGCTAAACCCGCCTCGAACGTTGCGACACGTTTTAGGGATACGCGGCCCCGTCCTTGCACGGGTTTTCCCCCTCCACTCGCGTTCGAATGATTTTCAACACACCGCGAACGGCAGGCAGTTTTTACACGTTTATAGCTAATAACTCGGAGTACTCCGGTTTTATTCCTGGCAGGCTGCTTCGCGATTAATGTCTTCATCAGTATGCGTAGACCGAACTGCGGAAAAATTTTCATTCCCTTGCAATTTCGCCCGCCTCGCCGACTATATCAATGGCATATTTTCGGAGTGATGTATTGTAACGAGACCATTACAACTGGTTACCGTTACGGGGTGAAATTTGATTTCGTCCTCGAGAAGATTTTTCATTCGCGGTATGAATATTCTACATTAGACCTGGTTTCGCATAGGATTTACACGTATCGCACTTGTATTAGTATTTATAGTATGTTTATTATTAGACTGTGCCTTTGTATGCAAATGATCGGAGAGATGGGGTATTTTATTATGGTACCGGTTACCATGGTAGCGGAATGGAGATTATTTTGAAGTTTAGAAAGACTCGTTCGTTCCGATGCGTTACACGAGCGCGTCGCGTAGTTTAGTCATCGTCTCGGTATGTTAGAATAATATAGACATCGATGCCGAAGTAATAGTGGAAGGAACACACGTTAGTGCTACTCTCCCATTATCCCGACGCGAACAATAATCATTTCCATTCGCCGGGGGATCGTTCCATTCACGGAGCTCCGATTCTCATTTCACGTATTACGCGACCGATTGTGCGTAACATTCGACAGAAATCGCATTACGTTACAAACGCCGATGCTAAATGTTGTATGGACTCGCGTAATTTCCATACGAATGTACCGAGAAGCGTTCGCCCGATTTCACGCACGTTCAGTGCGTATCACGCGAGAAGAAACGCTTCCTCGATCGCAACGTCTTTCGAGCGATCCCACGCGTGACCGATCGTTCCCGTATTTTACAGATTAACCGTTTTACATACGACTCTTTTCACAGTTATGTTCGTCACATTCGTTTGATCTGTTAATAGTCTACAAGGAAGCACAGACGTGTTCGTTTCATCGTAGCTGTACGTTTAGCTTGAATGTAAAACATTGATAACAGGGAAGCAGTCTGTTTCCTTTAACGTTGCGCAATGAATAGTATTGATTTCGATTAAACCGAGTTGGAAATTTTGACCAGCAGCCTCAGCCGTTATTATATATCAAGGAGTTAATCGGTAATCCTTTAGCGAGGAACGTTACTAGAAAGGTCGCGGACGAGACATCGTTGCGCAACCGCATGAAAAATATGCAAATGCTCGGCCAACGAGTTTTACGGTCACGTTTTTATTGCATTCAATCATTCGCCTCGGCTGAAATGTCTTCGGCACCTGGAAACGACGTTCACGTGTCCACGTATGTATCTCGTTCCCGATATTGTTCCTATTCCTCTCGGGATTACCGTCGGGAACGCGGTCGCCGGGCGCCACGTAGAAAAACACGCTTATCAGCGTTCTTACGTAGACGGTTCCCGCGTGGAAAGGTCGTTAAGAGGCCGCGCACACCTAACGAGTCAAAAAGTATACACGCTTTCCAGAATTCCGCTCGACGAGAGCAGATTTTACCCGATGGCGAGCCCTCGATCGATCAAAAGGGCGCACTTGAATCGCAATTGCCGCCGTTTAATGCTACGGTCGCCGCTGTTCCATTCTTTATCGCTGAAAGTAACTCCGAACGAGCACCGAAAGCTCTGACGATGCTCCACGAACCGATTTAAAGTAACCGCACGGTACTTTCTTTGTCTCCGTGAGCAAATATCACCGAATCGCTGTGCAGAATCATCTTTCTATACTACATCGTCGGCGGAATCGCGTAACGAGTCTTTATCAATGAATACTGGTCTCAGTGGCGCTTCGCGTTATGCATAGATATGTTTATTTCGGTCGGTTGGACTTCATAAATCGTAGCATTACGTTACCTCACAGCTGGAATTTAAACTTGAACAGAAAAAGCGTACGGAACGGAGTCCCTAGTCAAACGGGTTTTTGATGCTTTCTTCGAAATAAATCACTGTAGAATTACTTTGAAAAAAAATGGCGTGTTCGAACGATGTTACATTTAAAAACGCACCGCCCACGCTGTGATCTATTTACACGTAGCTCTCAAAACGTCCGTCGATCACGTTCGTTTGAAACCTTTTTCCGCGCGGAACGACCGACGAATCTCGTTAAGATTTCACTGAAATTGGCCTGGAAGCACGGCCGAGCCAACGAACGAACGAACCAACGAACGGACGGACGTGGGCAAACGCGGCTTGTTCCCGAACTCTCGAAGACAAATACGTAGCACGTGGCAACGATTAATGTCGGCCGTCACGGCTGCACCGTGCCACGAACTCGCGCGCGCCCGCTTTTTCGATTCGTTCGCCGCGACGCTGCGAGAATTAGTCGCCGTTACCGATTGGCGTTTGTTTCCCATTGATCTTTCGTTGCCCTCTTACCAATCGGCCCGCGGATACACCGATGCGTCGGCAAACGTTTGCTCGGTTCTCTTTGACCCTGAATTAATTAGTGTCATTTGCGGACGCGGCGGCGCGGTGTTCCCTGTCGCCACAAAGGAATAGGAATTTCGGCAAATATGCTTAATTTCCTGGCGTGCCGCTCGCTCGCGGCTACGGGGACAATTGCGTGAAGGCTGCTGCGCGAAGAAATATTGTTCGCGGACTGCGAAAGTTTCCTCGAGTTTGAGTAATTGGATACAGCGATTGCGTGTTACGTTGCAGCAGGTGTTGTGGGTATCAATTTGTCTGAAAGGAATCCCGCAGTCGGGATAACGTCCGGTTTCATCCAAAAATTCTGGACGCAAAGAATCCCCCTTCTTCCGATCGAATCGATATTGCGAATTCAAAGGTAAGATTTAGCCAGGCATTTGGTTTTTCTATGAAATTCTTAAACGTAAAATATATGGGATAGAAAAATTCCGCAGGGATATGGACCATGAAGAAGCGATATGAAATTTTTCCCGGAGCCCGTTACAAATCGATTATAAATACGTAAAGGCTCGAACAAATCTTGATGAAATCTTTTTGGCGTACTGCCTGTCTACTTCTATTAAAGTTGACAGTAGCTGCTAATGAATATAAATATGAATGAAGAACGACGGGCGGGAAGCACAAGCGTAGCCACTTGCAAAGTACAAACCCGTGTGCATTCCGTTCCCAGAAGGCAGCAACATCCCTTAGATCTTGTTAGCGCGTTCAGCCATTTAATCGACAGAATCGTGTCACTGTTGCACTCCGCAGCATGTTTTATTAAGCGACAACACACCGGGAGGACGTATCTCCTGGTTTTCGTTGAACCGTGCCATTCTTTCCCTCGTGTGTTGGCAATGCAAGAAATTTCGCGGCTCCGCGATGGTATTGGGCGTGTTGCTACCGGTGTGTCTTTATCGTCTCCCGTGGAAATACGCCGTTTTCGAGCGCGGCACCGAGCTAGGCATGCAACGCTCTAAATGTATGTACATAGCTGCGTTCGGTGAGCAAAT